GGCTTGCGGCCTTCAACCCAGGAGTGGCCCTGGTGAATCAGCCGGTCATAGGCGACGGTGGAAAGGAGGCCAATAAATCACGTGTTGAAACTTGGCTGTGTTCTTTTGGCGCTGCGGAAAACGGTTTATTTGACAGATGCATGAAACTTCGGCAGCGGCGATTAGGATAACCGGGTGGTGAAAATAGCCTTCTTTTTTTTTAGCACGAAAACAGAATATGCGTCGGAGACAGCCAATGAGCTGACATGACAGCGTTATGTAACGGTGCCCAGCTTGGTTTATTTCTACCAGAAGTAGCTAGAGCAGGCTTTTTTGCTTAGCGTAATAAGTGACGGTTACAGGAGACTTATTACTTTTACTCAGCAGCCATGGCTTGCATAAAATTTATGTAGACTGATAACATGAATGTCTGCCAATTTTTTTTTACTTCATGGGGTAGAATATTTTGTTGTTGCTGTTTTGAATTCAGAAATTAGATTGTGTGGTTAGCACTGCGTACACGAGACAGCCAGCTATGAGTACAATATTATTTTACATTACCCTGTAAATATTTAACAAAATGTTACGAGCGTAAGTAACCAAAAATATATAAAAAATACCAGGCAAAGTTGCGACTCTGAAAGAAGTTTCAAAGCACTCACTAGATTATATCTTATCTGAAGAAGGTATCTTTTCAATAACAGCAGAATGGACAGTGCCTCACTTGTCTTCATTGCATTCCTGGCTGAAACGAGCTGGGCTAGGCCAAGCCCAAAATATTCGGGCCCGGGCTGGATACGGGCCGTATATAAAAACACCAGGCCGGGCTCTGGTGAGCCGGAATATAAAAATTTTGGGCCGGGCCGGGCTCGGGCCGGAAAAATCGGCCCGTGCAGGGCTCTCATTCCAGCCACAAAAAAATCTCCAACTACAGGAAGCAAAGAAGACGTTTGTACCGTATTTCGCTTTTTTACATGATTTCGGACAGATTTCGTCTCTGAACAAAATGTTAATATTTAAAAAGTGGTGCTTTTTCACGCTGATTGCGTTTAAAATATGGCCCCGAACATGGCTTGATTGCTCGGAGAAACATGAAGGGTGGCAATACATTGTAATCCGAGAGACATATGCCTAAACATGAACACATGTAACCAGCTAAAGAAAAAAAACGCAACTTCGACGAGTGCAGTCGCATTGACCACTGGGGAAAATTTGTGCTGATCACAATTGTAGCCGTCTTCTGTAACAGTGGCGCAAAGTACGATAGCCATGCTCGTCAACGCGAGAAAAACGGTCAACGATAAAGAGTTTATAACCGCTGCACTTGATGTGAATGAACACTCCTTATTTGTATATTTACAGCTCACAAAAACGTCTCCAATATAGGTTCCAATAGCGTAGCTATAGGTCACTCACTCTAAAAAAATAAAACATATGCCACATGGTGTAACACAGGATATTTCTCTCTGGACATTATATTTCAGCATTTACATGACTAGGGCCATTCTTACCGCTAAAAATATGAAATGAGTTAGATAAAACAGTGTAGTTTTTTAGGTGTTTCAATTTAGAACACAGTAAATTTTGTGGACGCTGTGCTCTGGAATATCACAAGTTTTTGTCATAGAATATACCTAGGCCGTAAAGAAAAAACATACAAGCGGTCTTTTCCCATCAAGTGCATACTGCCGCATACCATCAAATCATCTCAAGCGATAAAGAAATTAAATTTTTTAGAACATAAAACACTAGCACGTACAAACACCAGTCGTAAAAATAATGGCTTGCGAGCCACCTATGATAAATGGTTCCACGGGGAAGCGTGTAGTCTTGAAGCCTTCGCTGCATAGGTACTCCATTTATCATGTTAAGCACTTTTCGGAAGTATACGATTGTAGGCCCTACTGCTAAATTTTTCTCTATTCGCATCGGGCTTATAGTGCCTTGAGGTACAACTTGGTGTCGAAGGTCTCCCTTGCCAGTTTGATCAGAGGTCTGACAGCATATCACGCTCTTGGCTCCTTTGCTTCTGTGAATTCAATTTTTCCTGGTTAAGAACTTTCCAGATATTCTTACATGCTCTTCAAGGTCATTTATTGCCCTCTGAGGGATCTCCTGCCATATCCCGAAAAATACCTGTGTCGGTCCCGTGGGGGGATTAGCCAGGCGAGCATTTTGTCGCGTTTTTGCGGACCAACCAAGTGATTATTCACAAACTGACTCACATCTGCCACGCAATACTTCTCGCCAAAAAGAACGGCGATGCCGTCCACTATATTTGCAGAACTAAAACCCAAATGCTATAACAACGTCCCACAAGAAATTTTCCGCATTTTTCATCTCAGCTGAATCAGCAGGAAGCTTTGTGAGGAAACAAAACGAATACGCTAAATTTATTTCATAGCATTTCATACCTAACTTAAACATGCGTTGAAACTTCATTTTTTTGTTACGTAAGACAGAATCTCACTGAAATGTTGAGTTCATTGAACTTATGAAGACAGGTTTTATGACTTAATAATAATAAAAACGCTTACAGCAATCTAGCTGTTAAAACACTTAAGTGAATGGGCCGTAGAAGATGTTTCAGCGGAATATTTTTTGCACCATATGTAACATCTCATTGGAGGATTTTCTTCTTTTTTCCATAGGTCCGACAGACAGTTAAATTTATAAACGTACCGTTACGTTGTCGAATAATATCAAAATCTGCACCTGCACTCTACAGCATTTGACAAATTCTTTTGCCAAAACATCCTTCGCTCCAGCAGTCATGGACGTCTTAAAGTTACTTATGGTAAATAGCATCAAACGTTCACAAATATTTCATTGCAAATGTTATTTCGAGCAGACTGAGATGGCAAAAAGTGTATTTGACGTCCCAGGACCACCCTAGAATCAAGGAAAATAGTGCTTCGCACAATGATACACAAAAATTGCAGTAATATTGCTGCCAATGGCTACGCCACTCACTACATGGAGCTCCACGGCACCGCTTACCGACAGCGGCCGCACATTTCTATTGAAGGTCATAGCCTACACTTTGCAGTCATGTCAAACGAGCCGTAAGCTCACTACGTCTTATCATCAGCTGACAAATGCACTCATGTACCCTTTGAATCAAACAGTCAGAGGTATGCTTGTAAAGCATGTTTTTTCAGAACACTCTGACTGGGACCTAGCTCCACCGCGCGTATCGTTTGCTTACAACTCCTCGCACCATGACGCTTCCACTTGCACTATTTCTTTTCTGCTCGGCGCAGAATCAGCGTTGCCCATAGATAATGTCCTTGGCGCTATCACCCGGATTGTGATGCACGCGAAATTGCCCGTGCTCGTCTTCTAACCTTCCAAGAGAACCAACAGTGTTTCCACGATTGCTGACAAGGAGACATGCACTTTTCGGCCGGTCATTGGCGCTACTGCGGTATCCTACCCGTAAGGTCAGCTCATCAGAAAAACTATACAGGCCCTTGCTGAGCCTTTTGTGCGGTTACTCGAATAGCATATGAAATCGCTCCTATCAACTCCTCGCTTTCTTCCGCCGAACAAGTTAGTGAGATTGTATACGTACAGGCTTGAAGCCCTACCTCGTTCCCGGTGACGTTGTTATCTAGATGCACCAAGACAGCCTTTCTGCCACCAGGATTTATACTACATCGATACACAAATCTCTGGGATGACGTGTGCGTGTGACCGATAAGGAGGACGAAACGTTGTTACCAATCGAGCTATGAGCTCAACTGGTTAGCACTGCAAACTTTGCATTAAATAGGCTGTCTACATCATAGTGCCACGGCAGTTTTGGCCACCTGCCAAACCTAAAAAGAGGCGAGCCACGTGGCTCACGAGACGAGAATTTTCAGAACGGCTGAGGTCCTGGCCTGGCTGGACGTGGAAGCTGAAAACCCGTGTAAGCTCGCGTCCCGACTAAAAGCTGAGACCACAGCACGGCCTCATCGCCACCGTCTCTCCTCTCGTTCCTCAACATATGGTAACCACGGACCAACGGACAAGCGACTGGCCCTGTACCGTGGCCTCTAAGCTTCGCGGCCAAGTTCAAGCCAGCTCAAGCCTTTCAGCCACACTTTGACCAATTTCTACAATCGTTTCGCATTTCCGACGTCGAGTCATGGTTCCAAGAGTTCGAGGCTGATTCGGAGCTGAACAGCATCTGGCTTCAAGAATTCATGTTTGAGGTCCTGAAGTATGTTGTTCTACCTGGCCTCAAACGACGCCTCCCCTATTCTCTGGGAGCTCCCACCCATATGACGGAATACGGGACACCGTCCTACCGTTTTATGGCGTGAACACCGCCTCTGACAAGCGACTGACAACATGAAACTGGCTTCTCCATATACGCTGATCAAAAGCTTTTCTCCTGGTTCCCCTTGACTGCATATTGTCCAGCACTATGCCACAACAATGAGGGAGGCAACCGTGCTGCGACAACCCACTCCACTGGCGTATCGCGGCGTAGGCTACCTGAAGATCAACTTTGGGTTGAGCGGTCGGCGCCTGTGGATCTGTCGGTGAATACGACGATTTTAGCGCATACTGACGTGGTGTGCGACACCCAAGTCTGCGCCACCTGTCACCTGTTCGCTGACATCACGTGCGGCACCATAACCGAACCAGCCGCCATCTCCCACGCCAGTAGCAAAGCTTCCGCTAGCATGGCAACGACTGCGGACGACGCTCCAGTTCTGCCTGTGCTGGATCGACTCGTTCATGATCTACCGGCCCCGCAAGCCTATGGTCAGCATGCCGTCCCACACTTAAGTTCTCCTGTTCTGGCTGCACAAGGTGGTCCCGTATCGACATGTACACCCCACGATGGCCTGGCACAGCTTAACCTTTCTTCGATGCACGACTTGCGGCGAACACCTCTGAAGATAGCGTAGAGAAACTTTGGCCAAATCAGCGCTCCCCACATGAATTTCAACGACGGAGTTGTTATCACGAGCGCTGATCAAGTCCAGGCGACAAAGACGTGCCAGCGTTGGTACCATCTAGGTGCATCACGAGTTCCAGCCACCAGACCACCTCTGTCCAACGCGCCTGCCTGCCATTTCCTCTACGGCCCGTCGGAGATCGCTACAGCTGTCGGAGAGCTTTTCCTCCGGCATGCCGTTCCAGGGATCATCGGCCTGCGTGTTCATGCCCGCACCACACGAAGACAGCATCAAAGTCTCACCAGTGTTCACGCCTGCGCCAAGCTCGCAAGATTTGTGACGCCTGCCCACAAGAGCCGCCATGGAGCTCCGCTTCGCACTCACTGAGCCGCCTTCTCAGTGTTGACCGCTGGTGTCGTCAGTGGCCGTTGCCACAAGTGCATCGACGTGTTGTTTCACTGCTGTCTACAACATCTGTTTGGTGCGCACCTCGTCCGCTCCACGGCTCCCAGTGTCGCCCGCCGGAACTTTTGAATGTCTAACATTTTTCACGGTGATGACTCGGACTTCACCACGGACAACCTACGGACTGTCGTTTATGTACATAGTATCTGTCTCTTTTGATTTTCCTTTTGTACAAGATTTTCAATTCGCGCAAAGCGCTAAGAGGAGCCTATGTAGCGCCACGCCAGTTTTGGCCAGCTGCAGTGCTTAAGAAGGAGTGAGTGAGTGCTTAAGAACGAGCGGCAGCTCGAAACCCGTCTAAGCTCACGTGCCGAATCAAAGCTTAGACCATGGCGCGGCCTCATCACCACTGTCTCGTCTCTCGTTCCTCTACAACACCTCCGCCCACAAACAGTTACGCTTAGGTTACTACAGAGTCGGGGACTCGCTCGCCGGATTCCGTGCCGACCGGTTGTGCCCTTCGCGATCTCCAACGACAGCGCAGCTCTGGCTGATTGGGTTCGTCCTATGCCTCCTCCTGCCGCCGGTACCCTACGACAACGTCAGCGCAGCTCTGGCAGACTGGATCAGCCCTACGCCATCTTCCGTCGCCGACAAGAGCTCCCGCATCTGGTGTCCCGTTCCCGGACTCCTGTGACCATGTTTCCATGTTTCCTATCTCTCTTACGTGGTCGCTCTTTGTCTTTGCGCATCTCTCTCTCTCTCTCTTTATATATATATATATATATATATATATATATATATATATAACGTGAAAAAGTAGTGATGGTTGGGAGTTAGAAGTACAAGCCAAGAAGGAAGAAGTGAGATTAGAATAAACATGGCATATGAGGCAGGCCACGTCTCCCACTCATCATAGCATCACACGAGTCGACAGGATGAAGACCTCCCAGCCACTTCATCAGTGTCTCATCATCGATGCAGTTCTCCACAAGACGCCCTGACCATACATCGACTACGGAATCATCTCCTGGCCGCACACAGCGACCAGCACCATGACAGAATCATCGACTGACCTTCCCATCCCCAAGTACACCGGAGCAGCGGACGATGGACGCGTACAAGACTAGTTCAACCTGTGCGAGCTTCACGCTACCGCTGCATCTTGGTCGGAACGAGAGATGGTTACGAACTTCGACTACGACTACGTCACCGGTGAGCTATTCAAATTTTACCTCACCCACTTATTCAACAGCGACGAGTCTTGGGAAAAGATAAAAGAAGGAATGATCATCTGGTTTTAAGACTCTACTGAAGATTCGATTAGAAGACACACTCCCAGTGCATTCAAACTCAGTCATCGCTGCCATAAGCAGCCTTCACGCATTCGAGCGCAGAGCATGAATTTACAATTCCCGTCAGGTGAAGTTAGCCACATGTTCATGGAAAGACCACGCTGTCGTTTTCGCAACCTTCCACCTGGTTCCTCGTTCGCGGAAATATCACCAATGCTTAACTCTCCGCTGCATAAAAGAATTGAATCCACCATTGATTACTCAGATGCATTGAATACTTCGTGCTGCATGCATACTTTTCAAACTGACTTGGTATTCAGCTAAGCAGTTCCACAAAGACTGAAGCATTCACAATCGGCATCTTGTGAAGAAAAGTCTTTTGCAGAAGCGTCTAGTATTCATCAATCCCAAGATCGAAGCGACGTCAATCCAGCGCACGACCTCACTGCCAACACTGAAAACAAAAGAGCAGGTGCGACTTCTGATGACACAAGTACCCTTCAGGCAACGACCAACAATGAGCGCTTTATGAATAGAAAAGATTCAAGTGTGCGAAACCTCCCACATTGTCTTGCGCCAGAAACAGCTGCATTGGTTGGCGTCGTAAATGCCTGCGGAGGGCTTGCTAAGAATCCGGGCACACCACGATCAATGTCACACCACAAGCAAGTCGACGAAGCCAAGAAACTACAACGTCAACGTATTCTTCAGTATTGTCAACGACGAAAGAAAACTTCATTGAAACCACTCTTATGGCTTAAAGAACATTGCAAAAGGGCCCATCGTCGTGGATACATTCTCCGCCAGAAATTGAAAATGCGCCTTCGATCAAAACATCTGCGACATCTCTATAGAAAAATCTCTAAAAGCCACGAAAGCACCCCTTGTACACGGCAGGAACACAGGCAGCGCCCAGTCAACCTCGATCAACGCGCACGCAAGCTGCCTGCACGGCCTGTGTATCACCCACGATGAGGCATTCGATGCCTACAATATCGGAACTGTCGATTCTGCAAGATGTTAAACCCTCGTTGTTTCTTCATACCAGCTGTGATTACCCCTATCTCTACGTCCAGAGCATTTTTGTGTGATCCAGGACGCAACCACCAGCCCCACCCACCAGAACTCCTGCGTTAACCGGACTGCTGCACTCTCCCCTGAAGTCTTTGAAAGTTTAAGGAACTCCCCAGGAGCATAGAACTAATTGTGCATTTTGACATTTGTGACTTTTTAACCTCTCCTTGTGTACTTTTTCTTGTTCGTAATCCATGCCTTCTTTCGGGGGGAGGGGGAATCGTGTGAAGTATGAGGGGATGGTTGGTAGATGCCGAGAGGGAAAAAGTGACAGTAAGTAAACATTACGTATGAGCCAGGCCAAGTCTGCCATTTATCAAAGCCTCACACACACACACACACACACACACACACACACACACACACACACACACACACACACATATATGTATATATATATATATATATATATATATATATCTTTATTCCTATCTTTTTAATCCCTCCTCCCCCCCCTGCCATTGTGAGCTACTGTTGAGGTGTCACACGCTAATGCAGACAATTACGGGCTCATTTTCCTCTTCTTTTTCTTCTTATAACCACAATCTCTATCTACAGAGTCGTAATCTAACCTTTCAATCTATAGCTGTTGCTCAGAGGTCTCTTTTTTCTGCCTTCACCGCGGCGGATACAGATACTATAAACCACATGCTATGGGAGTGCCCCACATTAGAGCACAACATCTCGCAAGCCACACTTTATTCACTGCTCGAGAGCAAGAACTAGTTCTAACAACTCCAGGCAGTGCACAAGGTCTGCGAAGCAGCGGTGAGGCTTAGCCGTCCCGTCCCAACATAACAGCGGCCCACCGTCGTCCTTAAATGACCAACTGGGGCGTGAATTCTCCGGGACCTTAATACAGTGGAGTACCTACCCACTCAAAACAACCACTTACCTGCCTGCATACCTACCTGCTTACCTGAAACCTCGTTCATCAAGCATGTATTTGTACTCGTAACAGTATTCATTATTTCAGCAAGATGTAGTTCTTACAATATGTAATAGCAAAATATATTTGTGAGGAATATTAAAAAAAATGCTGGTAACGAGTGACCTACCTGTACAACAGCTGCAGCTGGTACTATAGGCGTAATTTCTTTTTCCCAAGTTTCTTTCTGCTGTTCCTTATTTTCGTCTTCAGGAGTGGTGTCTTTTGAAAAAGTGGCAATATGTTAGTGTCTTCATTGACGATTCAGCGCAAGGCTTGTTTAAGTAGTCAAACTTTTATAAACACTAAATATTTCGATGCAGCAATTTTTTTATGCAGAAATATTTGGGTCGTACATATATGAAAATAGGTCGTACATATGTCTATATATGAAAATATATATGAAAATAGGTCACACATATATGTATATATATATACATATATGATTCTTCTGTCATTCCGGTGTCATAACTGAGTCAAGAATCTACTGCAATGTGAATTGCGAGAATCCTCGGAATCCGCCAGAAGGACACTGCTGCCCTTACTGCGAAGGTTTGTTGTTGTCATCGTCGTCGTCCTTGTTCTTTTTTTTGCATAAAGGGACTCATTGTGGCATAACATCGTTCACCACATTGATAGACTTCTGCGTGGTTGGAGGTCATTTCTCTTATTAGTATGCTACATTTATAGTTGAGAACTGTTGAATCTCGTCCAGGGACTGACAAGGCCAAGGGTCCAACGGGCAAACAACAGCGTTTATTGCCGAAGCGTACGACTGGGGTTACATCACGGGAATGGAGGACAGTGCTTTGAGCGTTACTATTTAAGCACTAGTGGGCGCATGCGCACTAACGACAGTTCGGTTATCAGGTGTGCTATCGCGAACACCACAAGAACAATACGTGTATAACCAAAAATACTGCACCGAACAAAAGCGCTGTAAATCTGTGACCTATCAGGATTAGGATCGCTAAACTAAGTGATCCCTTGAATCGACTCGACAGACAACAATTTACGATTGGAAAAGTACTTGGACCGTGGCCAAATACCGATAATCAAAAGCCTGCAGTAAGCGCTTTCCGTAATGTTTTAATGGACACAAATTAATTTACCTTATTTTAATTGATAATATACCTTGCCACTATTTATACAGACTGTATCCGCAATGTGATCCCGATATATAAACTGGACTATGACCATACATACCGTGCTCATTCAAGCTTTATGAGCTCTATTTAGTGTATATATGTATATAGTGTCTCTGATTATTTTCTTGTTCTTTTATTCCAAATTTTTTGTATTTTGTGTTCATATTGTACATTACTGTCATGATGTTGGAATAGCCGGCTCTAGCGTAGCCTACCTATCCATGTTTTGCCAAAATGTACATAAAAAAGGATCGTAACTGTGCTACAGACGTGGTAATGATCTCCACAATGCGTGTTCGAGAGACTCCAAACACTTTACTCAGTTAATGAGCCAATTAAGGGGCTATTTGCAAGCTACCAGCACATTTGCAGCTTATCGTATGTAGCATAGAGCCCCGAATGTCACGTGTTCGATTCCAGCCGCGGCGGTCGCTTTTCGATGGCGGCCAAATAGTAGAAGCCTACCTCATGATCGTAACGTGGTTCTGGCAAGCAAAAACCTAGATATTGATATTATCGTATACAATCTACTTTTAGTATTCCAGCTATTAGTTTCATAGCATATTCTCTGTTTGTACCGCAAGTTTTTCTCACGCTTCTGTGAGTGAGCATGTTTCTCTCAAATTGTATCCACGGGTTTCTGGTAGCATTATCCCTGCGAGAAATGATGTCGATATACCGATAATGTACAGCGACTGCCAGACCGTTGTGCGCAGCTGGCCGGCATGCTTCGTTCGAAGCGTCACCACGCAATGACTGCGCTGAAGCTCGGTTCTTCAGCGTCATCCTGTGACGCGTAGAAATACCATCATATTTGTCAAATCCACACGCGCAATTATCAGTGCACCCATAAAGTCACGCACGCCCGACCGTATTCATACACAAGCGATTATTTTTGACGCGGGATTTTGACGCGGGATTTTGACGATTATTTTTGACGCGGGATTTTTGACAGTCGAAGTGAAGTAACGTTCAGCGCAGCCCGCGCTCTTGATTTTCGGTGATTCATCAAGCTTTGTTGCGCACCATGTGGCCCACGGGTTTTGCTGAGTTTCTGTGGCTACACTGAAGACTATTTGGTGTCTGGTTATTTACAGCTCCTATGATTCAAATGCTAGCATGTACAAGCAACATAAGAAAAGTAGGTCTTGAGCGCATACGGTGCTGCTCTCCAACCACATTTGTGCACTACCATTCAGGCCGGGTCAGTGCTAACTAGCAGCACCTGCAACCCGCGTCACTTGCTGACGTAAGCGAATGATAGAGTTTGTCGTATTTTGCGTACAAGATCACATTCACTAAAAGTTTCTAACAAAAACTCGAGGACAGACCGCCGCCATGTCTTCCCTTCCTACTAGCACCGTTTGCCTCGCAATATTTCTTATCTCAATAGGCGGGATTCATCATCACCCTTCAATTTACGTTGTTTCGAAAGCTTCGAGGCTACTGGATGACGTCCTCGGCCTAAGGTGAGTCTGCGCGGGTTCTTTAAAGCTTCCGGGTGCTTTGACGTTTCGGAACGTGAACACGAAAGTTTTCTTCGCTATCACTGGTTCAAGCCCAATTCTTCGGCAGACTCACGTTTCCGCAAAAGTCTGTAGAATTCGCACAGCACTTGAGGTTCGCCTAGTCTTCTAACGACGCGCAGAAATGCCGGAGCGTTTAAAAGCCAGCACTCTTCTATCGAGGCCATGTGACCAGTACTACGTGACCAGCGAGCAGAGCGAACCCCTAGCGGCGTCACCGCTGTCCACCGCGATGATCGTGTTTCTCCTCCAGATATCCACCAGGCGCCGAAGTGTCTCCAGGGCCCGCGGTCTCCCCGAGAAGCAGTCAAGAACCGAGGTATTGAGACTTGGACACGCCGCTTCTAAGCCTCGAGCTGACCGGCAGCTGCCACCACGATACCAGAGCTGACGAACGCCCGCGGCGCTGGCGAAGCTGTAGTCGTGGCGATGGCACGCCATCCGACGCCGCCTCGCAAGCACCTTAGTACACATCACGGCCAAGTTGCGCACGCGGCTGGATACCGGACGACCAGCCTCAGCGATGCGCTGCAGCCGTGGCGGCGATGTTGACCGCGTCGGGGTTATTGGGCTGAATTTATTGGGCGAAGCCGCCGCTTCCATCAGAGTCTTCTCTCAAAGGTCGTACGGCACGTGTCGGCCAATCTCGGAGCGCTGGTACGTGTGGCATAAGGGACTTTCTTCTAAGTCGTGACGCGGATTAGAGATTAAAACGGAGATGCCACGGCGAGAGCATACCTGTTTACACAGCTGCCCCTTCTCTATAGAGAAGCAGTGAGGACGTTCCGCAATATTAACCCTTAAAGCACTATGCCATACGGGAGTTAATATTTGCTAGACACTTGCACGGCACCACATGGTATCATGCTTCGGTTCGACACTGTAGATGATAGTGGAGAAGGGCTGAAATCGCAATAGAAGCTTCAATTTCGAGCTTCACATTGCAACACTTTTTTATATCAAGCTCTATCTAAAGAACGTAGTCCCTCTGCCAAGTTTGACAGACCAATCTTCAACTTTCACGTGAATTCGTCGCCTAAATTTTCTATTGCAAAAAATATTACATTCGCTCTCGCCGTTTTTTTAAACCATAAGGTTATCTTCCGCTTCTGTAATATACGCGAATGGTTCGACAACAGCTTTTCGAAAGTTCGTGTAATCTAGAGCGATGCTTCCTGCCGATAGCATTCCTCTTCCCTTTGACTATAACCTATGAAGCCTCTATGAAAACACTTAAAACAGTTCCGAGTTGTGTGGAATTTGCGTTCTCACACACTTAATTCTTGACACATCTGAGAACCTTACTCGTCCCTACATACGTCATATGCGCACGCCTTATTGGTCATAGCTATCGATCGCTAAAAATAACATCGGCATCAATCATCCAGAACTAATGCGTACCATAGGCAGGGCATATCACTGACACAGTAGCGTTGTCAGTTATAGCCGCACCTTGGAGATTCCTGCATATGATGTGACGCAAGAACAAAACAACCTTAAAGTGGTCTTCACCCCAAGGAGTCTCTTATAATGGGGAAGCTAGCTTTGACAGTGCTTTTCGCCGGCTGAGGATATGAGCTCGCCCACTCGTGGGGGGTCGGTCCGTCGTACTGTAGTTAATGAAGAAGACACGTATTCATTTCTTGAACAGCACTGTCATTTGTAAGAGGCTTTGCGCCAGACTTGTGTGCGAGAGTAAAAGTGAACAGGCCATGAGGCTGAACGTGTTACTCGAGAGGACGGTTTCATTCTCTTTACAGATGTCTCGCTGACGAAAATCAATTCTGCTATAGCAATGATAGGGACACAGTGCAATCTTCCAACTAAAGCTTATTAGGTTGGGACGCAGGTATGTATATATAAGGCAAATCAAGAATGCAGCGATGACGTAGTGGTTAGAGCATCCGTCTCGCATGCAAAAGGTCGGTGGTTCAAATCCCGGTGACGCGCAGCTCTTCACCGAATGGTGATGGAACTGCATTACGAAGCCTGGGGTGCAGCCTCACCGGTAACCACCACCTAGAACGCACTCCCTCACCAGAGAAGGATTGGCAACCCTGGTGCAGTATCTGGCCACTACCTCCCGCGTGCATACGTCAACTAACTCACGGCCCTCAGTCCCCAGCAGCTGCGAAGCAACTGACCACGGCGGTGGTCAGATCTGCAACGCAGCAGAGGGTGCTAGGAATCTCCGGATCTGGACAGGCTGCCATTGGAACCTGAACTTGGCAACGTTTAACGCTAGAACCTTATCTAGTGAGGGAAGTCTAGCTGTACTATTCGAGGAGCTAGAGGGTGTTAAATGGGATATATTAGGGCTCAGTGAGGTTACGAGGACAGATGAGGCCAGTACGGTGCTACAGAATGGGCACGTCCTTTGCTAGCGGGGCTTGGCTGACAAAAGAGAACTGGGAGTGGGGTTCCTAATTCACAGAAACATAGCTGGCAACATAGAGGAATACTTTAGCAATAATAAAAGGGTGGTAGGTATCGTAATTAAACTGAATAAGAGATACAAGATGAAGGTGGTACAGGCTTACGCGCCTAC